CCAGAACGCCCAGGGAGCTGGAGATGGTGGCACTGCTAATGGCACTAATTGCCGGTGGTTATTGAGCCCATGATTTGCATTATCCAGGCGGGCTGAGTTACCCCATGGGCCCGAGGCCATCCCGGGTGTGCAGAGAGGGATCAGGGGGTGGCACGGGCAGGGCTGGGGGTGCAGGGACAGCAGCCCTGGGCAGGAGGGCCTGGGGCTCCTGGTGGGTGAAAGCTCAGCAAGGCCTCACCACCCTCACACGGAGGAATTTATTCTAAAATCCCATCTAAACCTACTCCGTTTAAAGCCATTCCCCTTTCTGCCACTTGTCTTCTTTGGCTGCAAAGCTCTCAGCAGCTCTCTTGAGTGGAAATACAGCTTCATCTTGGCTGAAATTCTAGTGGAAAGTGGGGATTTGGGTTAAAATCCTGGGCTGGAAGCAGAGCAGGTGATGGGAGCTCAGGGGGCTGAGATTGTGGGAGCTCACAGTGCAGCTGAGCTTTACATGTGGGATGTTTCCAGGCTGGTGAGCAGATCTGTGGCTCAGCCCTCAGACTTTGAGTCCCGGTCACAGGAAGGATTTAACAGCTCTCAGGAAGAGGGCAGTGGGGAGAACACATCCCTGTGATCCCCTCGGGAGGGTGAGCAGAGCTCTTTGGGGCTCCCCAGGCACCGAGTGTCCCAGCAGCAGAAAAACACCAGGACCTGATCCAAAACCTTTCCTGGGAGCTTTTCCATCTGCTGCCCCGGGCTGTAGATCAAACCCGGGCTGACCTGCGTGGCTGACACGGCGAGAATGGGCTTTGGGGTTTGTTTGATGTCCCTGGGGCTGGCAAAGGACGTTCCCTGTCCTCCCTTTGTTCCGGCTCGGGCAGTGTAGCACGGAGCCCCAGCAGGGGCTGGGCTGCCCCGGCCTCTCCTCCTCCTCCTCTGGCAGCCGCTGGATTTTGGTGCTCACAGGGATTTCCAGGGAATTTCAGGAGTGTGCAGGTGGCCAGGGGGGAGCTGTTCTCTGGGCTTTCCAGAGGAGGGGCTGAGGGTGCAATGCCACATCTCCCTGGGGACAGGGAGATGGGGAGAGCAGGATGGAGGAGGATCCCACAAGGATCTCACAAGGCTCCGTGTGTCCCACACCGGACAGGGACAGGGAGCTGGGGAAAGCAGCTTCTCCAAGAAGGATGGAGGAGGATTTCACAAGGCTCCGTGTGTCCCACACCGGACAGGGATGCCAGGAAGGAGCTGGGAGCGCCGGGATGAGTTTGCCCCATAGGAGAGGGAATGGATCGCGGGGAGGCTGCTGCTGTGTGGGATTTGGCCACAGCGATGAGCTTGCCCCCGCAGAAGAGGGAATGGCTGGGGGGGAAGGTGCTGCTGTGTGGGATTTGGCCACGGCCTACCCTCCAGGCAGCCGCTTCCCCCCTCGCACGGGGTTATCGGAGCTCTCGGCTGGCAGCGATAGCGCAAGGACACACGGCCGGCTCCTGCGGACACGGGGAGCTCGGGGACAGCCTGCGGGCTTTGCCTATCGCAGGGAAAGAGCCGAAAACAGGCAGGGAAAACAAACCCCGGCTCCGTGTGGGAGCCCCGCTGGCATCAGCAGAACTTTCCATGGAAATCCGTGGCACTCGGGGACAAAGCCTCACCTCGGGGACGCACGGAGGGGACGCACCTTGTCCCCGCATCCTCTGCTGCTTTCCCAGGGGCCCGAAGTGTATTGATGGCTGGGATTATGGTGCTCCCCGCGGGAATTGNCCGTGCGGGGAGAGCGGAGCCGCTGCACGGCCCGGGCTGGAAGGGACCTTAAACTGATATCGGGGAATGGCCTAGGGTGAGGGACCGCAGGGAGCCCGGCACGGCTCTGCACGGGACAGCCCGAATCCCAAAGCAGTGTCCCACTGCTGCCCGACTCCTGCCAGGCTTGGAATTCGGGAAAAGCGCCTCAGCCATGGGCAGGGACACCTTCCGCCAGAGCAGCTCGCTCTGAGTCCTGTCAGCCTGGCCTGGCTGCTCCAGGGGGAGTTAGGAGTTTTGGGGGGCTGGCCCCCATCATCCCGGGGGTCCCGGTGGGGCTGGCCCCTGCAGCACCCACAGCAGGAGTGCCTAAAGCTGGCAGGACCCTCCTGAGCAGCTCACCCATCCCTGCAGCTGCTGCAGCTTCTGCCATAGATCCTGCTTAGCTTCCTCCCCTCTTACCTTGTTCCTATTCCACTTTAGTTAATTTATTGTCCTTAAAAGCGGTGAAATGTGTGTGGCCAGGGCAAAAGTGGCTTTTTTTGGAGCTGCTTCCACGAAATGGCTTCGTGCTGGTGGACATGTTGGGCTCGTGCTGGAAGAGTAACATTAATTCAAAGGCCGGATCAAATGTCCGTGTCCTTTGATTTCTGGGCACCCCTGGCTGAATTCTCCAGAGCCTGCCCGAGACTTCTGCTTGTTCACGAGCTCCTCTTAGCTTAACCATCAAGTAATAACTGTGTTTAATATTAAACTAACAATGTAGCTCCAATGAGCTGATGCATATTCATATTTGGGAGGCGACTTCATTCCTCAGTAATGACTCATCAAATGTAAAATCGGGCATGTTGGCTTCTAATTAAAAAGCCTATTCACGGCGCTAAGACCCAACTGGCTTTCACAATAACCGGGATTTTGGAGCCTCAGCTGCTTGAGAAAGAGTCAGAGTTGAGCCGGGGAGACGGAAGGTGACATTTGAAAGGCTGGTCTGGGATTCCTCGAGTTGCTGTCGGGGCAGCAGCAGCGCCGGGTTTGGCTGCCCTGGGTGGAACGGCAGATGGTGAGAGCTGCAGGCAGGAGGAGGCTGCCCTGGCTGGGCAGCACCGAGCCCTGCAGCAGCTCGTGGGGCTGCCCAAAGGATGCTGCCAGCAGCAGCCTCCAGCACGGGATAGCTGAGGGCTGTAATTGTGCCCGGCCGTGCTGGCAGAGCCTGTGTTTAGGGCTGACTAAGCTGAACAAGTAACCCAAAAGGCAGTTATTTATCCTGTTGTTGTTGTCCAGGGAGCTGCGAGGCGCAGGTCAGGACGCAGCAGGATTTGCTCCTGCCTGGCTGTCACAGTCAATTATCCCAACCACACGGAAGGTGAGCTGCTGTTTTGGGAAGCAGGTCAGCAGCTGCCTAACCCTGCAAATATCCAGCCCTCTGGGGGAACGTGCAGCCCTGAACCCACTGCCTGCGGCCAGGGGGGATGAGCTCCAGGTGAGGGCTGGGGGCTGGAAGCTCCCAGGGAATGGCAGAGTGCTCTGCTCCCTGCTGCTCAGCAGGCTGGAGACTTCTGGGATGGTTTGGGATGACGCTGACTGGGGCAATTGGGTCTTTTCCCTGTTTTCTGAATATATCTCACACAGTCAGCCTGGGGAACTTGAGTAAGCTTGGAGCCTGTGGGCCTGGAACACTGCAGGTCCTGAGCCGTGCCCATAAAGGGGTTAAGCAAATGTTCTTTGGGGTCAGGAAATTAATCTGGAACGAGATCTTCTCTGAGCACTGGGCCCAGCTCTGCCTCTAAGACTTTGTGACCTATATCTTGTGTCTCTGAGCCTGGGAGCAGCCTGTGAGTGCACGAGCAGTGCTGGAGCTGTGCCCCGGGTGAGTGACTCCAGCTGGCAGCAGGGCAGGCCAGCAGCTCCCCTGGGTGATGGCTGCTCCCTCTGGGGCAGCAGCCCTGTGTGTCCTCTAGGAGCAGATCCATCCTTTCAGGCCGCCTGCCCTGGAAAGCAGCTTCATTCCCTGGCTGGGCAGGTGTGGCCTGGCTGCCAGGGGAGCAGCCCCTGCTTCGCTGTGCCTGGCATGTGACTGTCACCACGGGCTTGGCTGCCCTTCCAGCCCAGCAGGGATGGCTGTGTCAGGAGACAGGGGAAGCACCTCCTGAGCCTGACAGCCTCCCGGTGTGCAGGCAGCAGGGGATTTGTTCTGGGGTGTTTTTGGGAAGGCAGCAGAACTTGCTGTGGCCCTTGGCGCGGTCACAGAGGGTGTGGGAGGTGATGAGGGTTCCCTGCTGCAGTCCCTGACCTTTTGTGTGTTCTTCCTTCCAAACAAACCCATAGAGGGGCAGCTTTACTGCTGCTGGGACCAGAACTGCAACGCTTCTGGTCTCCCCCAGAACTGCTGAGGCCCAGGGCAGCCATGAGGGTTTGGCCCTTGTGATGCAGCTTGGAATTGAGATTCACGTTTTGGGCAGCCAAAATGCAAGAGTTTGTAGGGCCTCTCAAACTAGGGCAGGCTCCCAGGGCCGAAGGGCCCAGTCAGACTGGCTCTTGATGATCCAATTTGTCCATTTGTGTCCCAAGCTTCGGCTCTTTCAAGCCGTGGCCTTGCCCTAGGCTGGCTGGTTGGGACTCCCTGGGAAATGGCTGGAGGGGAACACGAAAGCAGGATGAGACGTGGGGAGAGCTTCTGCTGGAAGGTGCAAACCTAATCTTCCTGGGATCTTTGAGATGAGTTAAACTCAAATTATAAGCTGGTGTCCAGATAGTTTATTTTATGGTCTTGGGGGTTATTTTAGCCTCCTGCTTGTTAAGTAATCAGGCAGGTGATTCAGCTTCCCAGTAAATGAACAAAGCTTTGGAGGGGCTGCTGGGTGTGCCAGGACTGAGCAGGCAGCATTAAAATCACCGGAGTAACACCCGTAAGATGAAAGCTGCCTCTTGTGCTTGATAGCACGCCAAGCTCAGCACGAAGCTCTGACACACTGGAAATTGTTAGGATACACTTACTAGTTGGGACATGAACTTGCATACGCCTGGCTGGGGCTTTTGAGCTGCTCTGGCATCTTGATTTGCCTTTAATGAATCCTGACAGGCCAAAGGGATGGCTAAAAGGAGTGAGGCACCCTGATTAAATCCACAGGGACTGCTGCAGACTGTGCTGCCACCTCCTCTTTGGGGTCACTTTGGGGTCGGCTGCTCTTGGCTTGGTCACTGCAGCGGGGAGGGGACGTAGAGGGCAGAGACCACCCCAAAAAATGGGGTCAGGAAGACCCTTCAGGCCAGAGTGGGGAAGGCAGGGAGAGCAACCCTGCACTGGAAGCAGAGCAGCTGACCATGTGCAGTGCGATCTCTAATGCCAGGGAATAAGTGAAGGAGAGCTGCCCCAGCTGCTGGCAGGACTCGGGATGCTTTCCAAAGTGACCTATTTCCGATGGATTAGCTTTTTGTTTCACTGTCTTGCACCGGAGTGACCTGTGTGAGCGCGGGGAGTGCTCCTGCTGCCCCCAGGCTGCTCCCTCCCGCCCCTCACTGGCTCTGTCTCTGTCCCAGGTTGTCCGCAGCCGCCTGGAGAAGAAGGGAATCCCGGTGCACAACGTCAGGCTGAACGGCTCCGCCGCCAGCCACGTCCTGCACCAGGACAGCGGCCTGGGCTACAAGGACCTGGACCTCATCTTCGGCGTGGATCTGAAGAACGAGGACGTTTTCCAGCTGGTGAAAGATGTGGTCATGGACTGCCTGCTGGACTTCCTCCCCGAAGGAGTCAACAAGGACAAGATCACGCCCATGACCCTGAAGGAGGCCTACGTGCAGAAGCTGGTGAAGGTGTGCAACGAGACCGACCGCTGGAGCCTCATCTCGCTCTCCAACAACAGCGGCAAGAACGTGGAGCTCAAGTTCGTGGACTCGCTGCGCCGCCAGTTCGAGTTCAGCGTGGACTCCTTCCAGATCATCCTGGACTCGCTGCTGCTCTTCGGGGAGTGCTCGGAGAACCCCATGGCCGAGAACTTCCACCCCACGGTGACCGGGGAGAGCATGTACGGGGACTTCGAGGAGGCCATGGAGCACCTGCGGCACCGCGTCATCGCCACGCGCAACCCCGAGGAGATCCGCGGCGGGGGGCTCCTCAAGTACTGCAACCTCCTCGTCAGGGGCTTCAAGCCCAAGTCCGAGGTGGACATGAAGGCCCTGCAGAGGTACATGTGCTCCAGGTTCTTCATAGACTTCTCTGACATCGGCGAGCAGCTGCGGAAGCTGGAGTGTTACCTGCAGAGCCACTTCGTGGGCATGGAGAGCAACAGATATGACTATTTGATGACCCTGCACAGGGTGGTCAACGAGAGCACGGTCTGCCTCATGGGACACGAGAGGAGGCAGACCCTGAACCTCATTGCCATGCTGGCCGTGAGGGTCCTGGCTGAGCAGAACATCATCCCCACGGTCACAAATGTTACCTGCTTCTACCAGCCGGCCCCTTATGTCAGCGAAATAAACTTCAACTACTACGTGACCCACGTGCAGCCCTTCCTGCCTTGCAATCAGTCCTACCCCACGTGGCTTCCCTGTAACTGAGCCAGGACAAACCCCAGGGTCTGTCCTCCAAGGTATTTCCGTGCCTTGGGGGGTTGGGAGGGTGGGGAGGGGGGAGCAAAATGGAACCTACCGACCTTCCCAGAACTGCAACAAAAGGAAACTTCCTGGACTCTTGCTTGAGTGTCTCGTTCCTGGGATTGTTGGGACGAGCCTTGTCTGCTGTACACTGTGATGGGAAGTGCAGTGTTATGGGAATGACTCCTTATGGAATTGTGGAGGCAACGGGGTGGGTGGGGTGTGTGAGGGGAGACTGTAGAATTACGCTAAGGTAGAGCTGCACTGCCCTGAAATGGATCTGAATTGTGGTTTGTTTTTTTTTTAGTGCAGGAGGTGTTCTGGGTTTGCAAACTTGTGGTTTCTGCCGAGAGAAGCCAGGGTGGCTAATTCCTTTGAAGGACCAAAGAATCCTGTTTAAGTGCCTGTAACAATATAAACACAACTGTACTGTAAACTTTATTATTTTCTGCGGGGGCTGATGGCCCAGAGCTCGAGTGGGGAATGTCTGAGGAGGAAAATGTTTCTGTCGTGGGTGGGAGGGTCGCAAGATCATTTCTTATGCTGGCTGAGGCCAGAGCAGGTTCTGTGTGGCTGAGGGGTTTGGGCATGACTTGCTCCCTGTGAAGGACCAGCTGGAGCCAAGAGCTGCCAAAGTGGGGCTGCCTAACCCGGGGGGTTGGAAATGCCTGAAACTGGGAGCACTGGTGGAAAATGCTGTGCAGGGCTTGCTGGAAAAAAGGCAGCAGGGACCTACACTTGGATTTCTTCAAGCTCCCAAGTCTGCAGTGCCAAAATGTAGTGAGGCAGATGATCTGTCCAGGAGCCTGCCCCAGGCTGCCAAACCTAATCCTGTTTTTTTCTAGGGGAATTTGAAATGCTGCTCTTCCAATTTTTTTTTTTTTTTTTTTTGACATGCAGTGTGATTTTAATGCACAAAGCCACAGGCCAGCTGGGCCATGGGGAAGGTGAGGCTTGTCCTTTGAAGCACAAAGCATCCAGGTCACTGGTCAGTCATTTCCAGCTGTCGCTGTGGCCTCCAGGGAGGTGGACAGACCTCTTCATGCTGGAGATCATCCCTTGGGCAGGTCCCATCTCCAAAGCAGCCCATTCCCAGCTCTGTGATTCCCTGGTAGCATTTGAAATTCATTCTCTAGCTAGAAATGGAGCCTGGGGGCAGAAGAAGGGGTGAGGTTAGTTGGCCTTAGGGAAACGATGTCTTCTGAGCAGACGCTCTGGTGTTTGGAGGGTCTGGCTCTCGGTCCAGTGTGGCTCTGGAGCTGTTGAGTGTCCGGAGCACAGAGGTTTTTCGGGAGGTGCCTGGGCTGCCGAGCCCCAGAGTCTCAGGTTTCAGGGGCAGGCAGCAGGCAGGCATTCCCCAGGGATGCTGCTCGGGAACACCACCGCGGCTTCCTGCTGCTGACCTATCCAGTACCTTTACTAACTCGTGTTTTTTGGGGTTTATTTTTGTTTTTGTGACAAAACTGTAATAGCCGGGCAGATTGAAATAAAGACTAGATCCTTGGAATGTGTATAGCCAGATTGGTACCTTTTTTGGGGTGGGGGTTTGCGGATGGGGAGTCAGGGGGTGGGGGTGGCCCTGGGCATCCCTGGAGCCCAGCTCTGCTCCCTGCCCCGGACCCTGTGCGGGTTTGGTGCCTCCTGAGCCCAGCCCAGCCTTCAGGGCAGCTCCCAGCTCCCCAGAGCCCCATCCGTGCTGGGAGCTCGGCGTTTCCCACGCAGGGCCACGCTTGGGAGCCTGACTGTGCCACTCCTGTGGCTTTGAGGAAGGTGAGATTTTTTCCTTGTGTTTGAAATGGAACATAGATGCCATGTAGCATGTTTTTTACAGGCTGCTCCTACCCACAGACGCACTAAACTGAGATTCCCTCCTTCCCTTTGAGGTGTCCAAACAGATCCCCTACAGCCAACAGCTCGACAGGGCGATCTACCATTGAGATTGCACTTTGGATTTATGGAGTGTGTGTGCTGGGACTCTTGTGAGTGGCTTGAACCTGAATTTTTCTAGACCTTGCAGTGATACTGTGCTGCCTCTTGTGAGGGGGCAATTGGAAGATTCCAGTAGCTTGAATGGCACTTGATTTCTTTTTTTTTTTTCGTTGTTTTGTTTGTTTTAAATGTCCTTTTTTTCCTACACCTGTATCACTTGTCATGCGATGGGCTTGACATAGACTCACTAGATTCTTTAGAATCTGTTACGAATAAATACAGTGTATTCAAATTTGTTGGATTATTTTTATTTGCTTGTCCATCCGGGTGGTGTGATGAGGAGATGCCCCAACCCTGTTCCCACCAAAAACCAGGCTCAGAACCAGCTGGGCACCTGAAAAGAGGCAGGCTGAGCCCCTGGAATGGATTTGCCCGAGTCCAGAGCAGCTCTGAGCCCTGGGGAGCGCCGTGGCTGTGTCAGCTGGGGGAGGTTTCTGTTTTAAACTCTGTTCTTCTTTGGAGTTGTGCATTTTGCCTTTCCCTGCTGCTGCAGAGGGAGGGTGGCACCAGAACCCTCCCTGCTGGCTCTGCATGGCTCCATCCCTGCTGCTGAGAGCAGCAAGAGGTGCCTGGAGCCCTTGGGCTTGGTTCTGACCCACCTGCAGGGTGGTTCCTCCTGGAGCAGGCGAGGCTGAGGCTGGGAGGGTTCAGTCCCAGGAAAAGCTGTGTTCTGGGGAGGGCTGTGTCCCAGGAAAAGCTGTGTTCTGGGGAGGA